GTATGCAGACTAAAACAAATTCAGCAGCAACAATTGTGCCAAAGTGTTCCCTACAAAGTCACTTATAACTATTTGAAAGGTTGTGTTAGAAAAATTTAGACTTTAATTATAAGAGACTGATTTATAATTATTTATAGGTTATTAATTTATTAATTATTATAATATTAATTGATGGAATGAAACTATCATAGCAACACTATAATAGAAATGTTTAAAAGTTAAGTAGGCTATTACTAGCTTGTATATAAAAAACAAATCTTGGTTTATACAAGTACAATCTGTGCTTATTATTAATACTATTTATTAATATATTGTTATGCGATCATCTAGATCTTATATACATCGGAATTAATGAGAGTGAATATAACAAACAAACCTTGGTTTTTACAAGTACAATCTATGCTTATTATTAATATTATCTATTGATATATAAAATTGTTACACAATCATCTAGATCTTATATACATCGGAATTAATGAGAGTGAAGATAACAAACAAACCTTGGTTTTTACAAATATAATCTGTGCTTATTATTAATATTATCTATTAATATATTGTTACGTAATCATCTAGATCTTATATACATCGGAATTAATGAGAGTGAATATAACAAACAAACCTTGGTTTTTACAAGTACAATCTGTGCTTATTATTAATATTATTTATTAAATATGTAAATAAAAATCCTTCTGAATCGTTATACTTGATGAATGTCTTATCAATTATTTGTAGTTATATAGCAGTTGATTGAAGTGTTAAAAGCAAGATCTATGAAGCTTGTAAAGTGATATACACACCCTAGACAAAAGTTTTTGGACACCTGTTTTTACTAATTGCGCAAAACTACACATAATAACTATACATAAAATTTTTGTCATTTGCGGCTTAGGTTTTGACGAACATTTGTATAAATTTTCATGGTTCTAACACGTTTAGAATCCAGTAAATAAAAAAAATACCAAAAAGTTTATTTTGATGATCTTCAAAATTGAAAAAATTAAAAATTAAAAAATAAAAAGATGAATAAAAATGAAAATTAATAACGCGTAGGTCCCCCATCTTTTTCTATACATGCCTCGATCCTTCTAGGCATGCTCTCAATTAATTTATAATATCTTTCACAAGGAATGCTCACCCATTCTTCTTTCAATGCATGCTCTAACTCTGAAGCATTTTTTGGATATCTTTCCCGTTTTTTTAATCTTCTCTCAAGTTCATCCCACAGATGTTCAATTGGGTTGAGATCTGGGGATTGAGAGGGCCAATCAGACAAAATTTTTATTTTTTTCTTCTTAATCCAATTTTGTACATAGTCTCCGCCACAAAATTTTCTTCTAATCAATGGCAACAAATTTTTTTCTAAAATTCGTATATAGTCTAAACAATTCATTTTACCCTCCACTTTTACTAATGGACCTAGTCCTTTTCCAGAAAAGCATCCCCAAACCATTATGCCACCACCACCATGTTTAACTGAAGGGACAATATTTTCAATATTGTAACGTTGACCATCAGTACGCCAAACATGTATTGGTCCATCACTTCTGAAGATTGTAAAGCGTGATTCGTCACTCCAAATCACCTTGCTCCAGTCTTCTATTGTCCAAGACCTTCTTTCTAAACACCACTTTAATCGTTTTTCTTTTTGTTTTTGTGTTAAAAGTGGTTTAACAGCCGCAGCCCTCGAAAAAATCCCCAGTTCATGCAAACTTCTACAAACAGTTCTTGTGCTAATTTCTTTGCCACTAACTTCAGTAAATTTTATTTTGATCTCTTCTGCAGAACTAAAATTAT